TGAGAGAGGGGAGGGAGGGAGGGAGAGAGGGAGAGAGAGAGAGAGAGAAAGAGAGAGAGAGAGAGAGAGAGAATGCAATCCTATGATGTGGTAAGTTTGCATCATTAACATGGAGAGAATACTGTCCGCCCTAAAGGAAATCAGAGCTTGGGATTTAAAAGAGTTTAAACAACTGGACATCTGCCAACTTTTTGTTCCGGGACTTAGTGGCACTCTGGAAATGAATGGCTGCACATTGTTCCTTGTGACTATTACGCACATTTAGATAAGCCAAGGAACCCTATTCAGAAGAGGAAGTCGATTCCTGTCATGCGTTCTTACGTCAGGTGGGAAAGGTGAGCTGTTTGCTTTGTGGTGTCACCTGATCACATCTGGTCTTCACACCACACCCCTTGGCCCCTAATCCACATTTCTTAGCATTGAAAAATGGAACTGGCGTATTCTTCTTAACGGAGGCCTTTTAAATAAAGCAGTTGTTCCCCGAGTTCTCATTCTCACTTCCCTTTGGACCCCCCCAAAAAAGGCTCTTTTTGAAACATCTGTGGTTTCTAACCCATTGGTCAGGACTATCACATCCGGATTGCAATAGTTCACGCCCAGTGGTGGGTTTCAAAAAATTTTGCTACCAGTTCAGTGGACGTGGCTAGGTGGGGGCATGTGACTGAGTGGGTGTGGCCAACTTGATGTCACTCATGCTCCCACCCACTCAGTCATATGACCCCCCACCCACCTAGCCACGCACACAGTAAAAGGTAGGAATAATTTTGGAATTTCCACCTATCTACCCCCACCCTCCCTTTGCCCCTCTTTTAGTGACCCCGGCCCTGGCCCTGCTTCCCCCCGCCCCCCACCGCCTCTTTGTTCGGGCTGCTTACCTTCCACGGCAGCTGGTCCAGAGTCCAGAAGGCAAGCTGACCGGAGTTTTTGGTGGCTCCCAGCCAGCCGCCACTGGTGGAAAGCAGCTGGCAAAAAAGCCTTTGGGAGCTGCTTTGGGGCTGCAGCAGTTGGCCGCAGGCAGCTGAAAAATACCGCCGGAAAAAGCTGCTGCTGTTGCCGCCATGTTCTTCGCACATGTGCATCCCATTGGACTTGCAAGGCAATGGGATGTGTGTGCATGAAGAACATGGCAGCGATGAACAGGCAGCCGGGGTGAGTGAGCAGCGACCGGGGGACCAGTTTGGGGGTGTGGCCAGCCAGCCATCGCTACCAATTTGGCGACCGATGACAAATTATCGCTACCGGTTCTCCCGAACCAGTGCGAACCGGTAGCAACCCACCACTGTTCATGCCACAGGTAGAGGCTGTCGGTCTCGCAAGTAGTCCCGGTTAAAAACACACCCAGAAATATTAGTTCTCTAACTTTGTCATTAGAACTTTGGCTTTATTGAAAATTGCGATCAAAATCCAGACATTTGGCCCCTGGTTCGTATTTATGACGGTTGAAGTATCCCCGGGGTCACGTGATTCACCTTTTGCAACCTTCTCACAAGCAAAGTCAATGGGGAAGCCGGATTCAGTTAACAACCGTGTTACTGAGTTTAGCCACTGTGGTGATTCACTTAACAACTTTGGCGAGAAAGGTTGTAAAATGGGGCCACATTCACTTTAACCAGTGTCTTGCTTAGCAACAGAAAGTTTGGACTCGATGAGGGCCACCTGTACATCTGAAAGTACACCTCTCTCCCCTTCACCTTTACAGTACTTAAGAAACCAAGGAGAGTTCCTTCTGAGACGTTTGCCACACTTCCATTCTTACTGTGGGCTCAGCTGCCTCTTATCTGTTCGTGGTCTAGGCCCGTGATGGCGAACGTATGGCACTCGTGCCAGAGGTGGCATGCAGAGCCCTCTCTGTGGGCACATGTGCGGTTGCCGGCTGGTCTTCTGGTTTCCAGCCAGCTGGTCTTCGCGGGTGCCGGAAAATGGCCTGAAAACAGCTTGAAAAACGGCCAAAAAACAGGCCGTTTTTCAGGGCTTTTGGAGGCTGTTTTCAGGGCATTGTTGGGGTGTTTTTGGCCTGAAAAATGCCTGCAAAGCACCCTGAAAACAGCCCCAAAATGGTACGAAAATGGCCCCAAAAAACAGTCTGAAAACTGCCTGAAAAATGGCCAAAAACGGCCAAAAAACAGGCATGCGTGTGCCGGCCAGCTGGTCTTCGGGTTTCTGGCGCTCCAGTGTGCACATGCACATTCCGGTTTGGGCATTCGGTGCCGAAAAGGCTCGCCATCACTGGTCTAGGCCAGGGGTCAGCAACCTGCGGCTCTGGAGCCGCATGTGGCTCTTTCACCCCTCTGCTGAGGCTCCCTGTCACTCAAAATATGCATCACAACCTCCAATGTGCGACACCCTCCGACACGCGATTTATTGAGCTTTTCAACCCCTGGTAGACCAACCATGGATAAATCCAAGAAAAGAAAAGTTTCAGAAGGAAACAGAACGTTTAATTCAACTACATATGCTAGTTTTGTGGCCGTTTAAGAAATAGTCAGCACAGGAAGGGTTTTGTGGCTCCCGGTGTTTTCTTTTCTTTGGGAAAGGGGTCCAAATGGCTCTTTGAGTGTTTAAGGTTGCAGACCCCTGATCTAGGCTGAAGCCCTTCTTCCTCTTTCCCAAGGTCACCTCCAAATGCCATTACGGACTCCTTCTTTGGTGCTACCCGGGGGCTAATCTGAATTGTAACAAGCTAATTATGGAACATTACTCAGAGCCGTGCCCCAGGGGCCTGAAGCTTTCACATGCTAAAATTGCAAACTGTCAGCTGCTGGAAGTTATGGAGACACTATCTTCAATTTCTTCCCAATTAGTGACTCTGCATTAATCCTGTATTCACAGACTGACCGTTACCATCGGCCCATGCTGTCCAGGAACAGTTGGAAAGAGCTTCCTCTCTGGCCAATAATGATCTCCCAACTCCAGTGTGCACTGGATTTTTGTGAATTCCTTGGATGAGATTGGTTGGCCTGCTGTGTTGAGTTTTGATGATGATTTCTTGAACAAGCCATGGAGGGGGGGGGTTTCACATATAATGCTACATGATAAACCATTGTTCACAAAGCACAGGGATTCCATGCACATTTCACCAGGGTGGGCTTCAAAAATTTTAGCAAGGGATTCTCTGCCCAGGTGTGGCCATGGTGGGTGTGACCTAGTTGGCCTCCTGTACCATGGTAGGGGGGGCATTTTTTCCCTCCCTGGGCTCCGGAGGCTTTCCTCGAGTCTCTGGAAGGGCGAAAATGGCCTCCCCAGGCTCCAGAAGCCCTCTGGAGGCCAGAAACGGACCGGTTTCCAGCTTTCTCGAACTTCCAGTAGGCCCGTTTTTCACCCTTCCCGAGCTGCGGCATATGCCCTGCCCTTACCTGCATCCAAAAAGGGCCGCGTGGGGACTCCTGGGAGGGGAGGGGTGGGCAAGGCCAGTCAGGAGTTGGATTTGGTGGGTTCTCTGAATTGCACAGAATCTTAGCTAGAGGTTCTCCCGAACCCTTGCGAACCCCCGGCAGCCCACCTCTGCATTTCACCCTAAGTCAAAGCAAAACAAAGGTAGCATCACTCAGCCTTTCAAAAGCTCTTCCTTTTACAGTGCTATTAAGATGTATATTGCACCTTTCCCCCATTAGTGGAAAACAGTGTGGGATTTCCCCTCCATGTTACCCCTGAAGCAACCATCCTGGTTTGGAGATTGGCTGGGGCAAAGTCACCCAACGTGTTTTCGTGGCTTACTTACAACTTTCTAATCCTCATCTAGTACGGTAGTTCTCGACTCACAACAGTTCATTTAGTGACTGTTTGAAGTTACGACGGCCCTGAAAAGAGTAACTTGTGACCATTTTTCACACTTAACGACCATTGCAGCATCCCCATGGTTCCATAATCAAAAATTCAGACTTTTGGCAACTGACTCGTATTTATGACGGATGCAGTTTCCCTGGGTCATATGATCCCCTTTTGTGACCTTCTGGACAAGCAAAGTCAATGGGGAAGCCAGATTCACTTAACAACTGCATTATTAATTGCAAAGATTCACTTAGCAACCATGGCAAGAAAGGTTGTAAAATGGGGCAAAACCCACTTAACAACTGTCTCACCTAGCAACAGAAATGCTGGGAGCAATTGTGGTTGTAAATTGAGGGTTGCCTGTATCTTAATCATTGTGCCACCAGGTTGCATGAGGCCTAGTTATTTATCACTTGATTCAATCCATCAGAATAGAGCTGGAAGGGACCTTAGAGGTCTTCTAGTCCAACCCCCTGCTCAAGCAGGAGACCGTATACCATTTCAGACAATTGACTGGCCAGTCTCTTCTTAAAAACCCCCAGTGATGAAGCACCTACAACTTCTGAAGGCATTTGGGAGAGGACAGGTTGCACAAATTTTAGGCATGGGCAAAGAATAGAATAGGACAGGACAGGACAGAATAGAGCTGGAAGGGTCCTTGGAGGTCTTCTAGTCCAGCTCCCTGCTCTATCCAGAGCCTGGATAGCTCTGCAGACTAAGCACTGTAATTTAACATCAGCTGTCTGCAATTAAAGTAAGTTCGAATCTCGCCAAGGCTCAAGGTTGACTCAGCCTTCCATCCTTTCTAAGATAGGTAAATTGAGGACCCAGTTTGTGGGGGCAATAAGCTGACTTTGTATAAAATATACAAAAGTATGAAGGCTATTGCTTAACGCCTTGGAAGCCGCCCTGAGTCTCCAGAGAAGGGCGGCATATAAATCAAATTTTAAAAAAAAGAAAAAAGAAAAAAGCAGGAGAACCTATACTATTTCAAAGAATCTAATTTCTTCCTCCCAAAGGTTCTTAAGAGCATGTTTTGGGGGGGTTGGATTTCTGCTTTGTTTTGTTTTGGGGTTTTGGTTTTTAAAGCAAGCAAAGCCTATTCAGTTTGAAAAACCTGATATATTCAACCACAGGAAACATCTTCCTGCATAATAGATCCCACGGATTGCACACGCCAGTAGTTCTAAGGGTCAAGAACGGCTGTGGACAAGAGGAGTTCAGAGGGTCACCTTTGGAATTGGCTCCCCCTGTTTCGAAACCTCTCCTTTGGGCTGCTGTTTCTTCCACTTGTTCTCCGGAGATTCATTTTGGCAGCTCCTCTTCTACTGTTGGGCTTTGTGCCACCCACCCTTGGCATGGAATGTTGTCCAGCCGGTCGGAGTTGGCCATGTGATGCCGGAGTAAATGCTGGCTTAGAATCAGATTGCCATGGTCAATATTTGCAGTAGCTGTAGGGAGGGAAGAGCTCTTTTTTTGTTGTTTTTTGTTTTTTGTTTGTTTCTTAACTTTCTTTTTCTGCCGGCTTCCCAGCCCCAGCGGCTCAGATTGACGCAAAACCTTTCTGGAGTTGCTTTCGAAAACTTTCTCAAAGCCGATGGGTGGATCTTGCTCACCTCCTTCCCTGCAAATGTTTCAGGTGTCAAGGAGAGCCGAAGATGAAGGACAGGCTGGAGGAACTGAGGAGACGCATGTATGAGAATGGGGACTCCCTGGAGCTGGAAGAGGCCTTCTCCTTCGACAATCCCGTTTTCCAAGAAGACGAGAGCAGTCCCGTGAGTAAGGTTCTCCAAGAAATAAGCAGCCTGTCCTTGGCTCTGGAGAAGTTGGAGCAATCCTCTGAGAACATCGCTAAGAAGCAGCAGCAGGTGCTTTGCTGCACCACCGAAGTGAGCATTGGCGAGGAGAAAAAAGAGCTGAGCACCATGAAGGACATTTTCACCAGGGAGGCTAAGGCTCTCCAGCCGAGGCTCAATGACATCCGGGAGACCCTGGCCAAGGACGGTGTTAAGAATCTGGCCATCAGCCGCATTCGCTACAGCCAGTTCTCGGTGCTGGTCAACCGCTACTGTGAGATCATCACCCGCCATTATGCCAAGGAAACCCACTATGTGGAGAAGCTGAAGGAGCAGATCCAGAGACAGACGGAACTGGCAGGCTTGCATCTCCAAGAGGAGGACATCAAGCGACTGGTGGAGAGCCCTACGATGCCGCGCATTGTTGGCCAAGACCTGGAAGTGCTCAAAGCCAAGCAGCACCTCGCCATGGCCCAGGTTCGCCACCAGCAGCTGCTGGATTTGGAGGCCCAGATCAGTGAGCTCCATTCCCTCTTCTTGCACTTGGAGATCCTGGTTTTGGAACAACAGGAGATCCTCGACAGTATCGAGTACAACATCCTGCACACCACTGATTACATTTCCCAGTCCAACGAGGAAGTCAAGAAAGCCATCAAATATCAGCGCCATTCCCGGTTGTCCGCCCTCTTGTCAGCGCTCGTAGGCCTTTGTGCCTGTTGTACATGCCTATCGTGCATGGCAACACCAAGTGTGTTGCGCTGAACAAAACAACAACAACAAACCAAGACAGAGCTGTTTCTTTCAAGGAGAAAGAGAAACCCCATGATGACCAAGACCATCATAGAGCATTGGATGGACCGCTGAGAAAAAGTCAGTCTGGATAAAGGGGGCTGATGGGAGCTTCCAAAAAGGCAGTCTGGGCTTGAGTCGAGTGGAATATTTTGCTTTATTTTTTGCAAAGCAGAAGAAGGGACTTATTGAAATAGGACATGGGTTTCTGCAGAGCTCAGCTCCAGTTTTGTTTCTAGCAGCCCATGACTGCTTCTGGACTATTGGTATGCAAGCTCTCATGGTCCCATGCTCTAGTTGTAGGTTTTAACTACTAGGATTCAGCTGCCTCCTACACCAGGAGCTTCTGTTTTGCTTCACCTGGTGAACCGTAGCAAACGGATCAGTTTTTCTCATCTTCTGTTTTGGCACTGAGGTTCATCCCTAGGTCATTAGGGCAATGAAAAAGCTGTTGTCTCATCAGCTCCTGGACCGTTCCCTTGAGCCGCAAGTGAGAAGCCCGGATTTAGGATGAAGGACTTTTGATATTCCTGGATAGGTGACAATCATCCCAACCACGACAGAAAAGTGCCTCTGCGCGAGCTCAGATGCTCTCTCTCCTGTCTTTGATGCTTTTGTGTGTTTTAAAAATAAGACCTTCTTTCTTCAAAAAAGGCTCAGGATTGAAGCAAGCTGCTTCAGGTGGCGCAATTCAGGCAAAACGCAGGTCGTGGAGTCTACAGCAGTGGTGAAATCCACATTTTTTTTTACTACCGGTTCTGTGGGGGTGGCTTGGTGGACGTGGCAGGGGAAGGATACTGCAAAATCCCCATTCCCACCCCACTCCAGGGGAAGGATACTGCAAAATCCCCATTCCCACCCCACTCTGGGGCCAGCCAGAGGTGGTATTTGCCGGTTCTACGAACTATTCAAAATTTCTGCTACCGGTTCGCCAGAACCTGTCAGAACCTCCTGGATTTCACCCCTGATCTAAAGGCTTAAAAACAATCTTACAAGTGCTGGTTTTAGCAGATGGCAAAGGACACCCAAGAAGTAAGAAAATATACTGAGCTGCAAAACAGGTTCTGTGGCAATAGCGCTTATTTCTGACTTCCCTGAAACGCTGAAGCTGAACATGCGCGCATGTATTTGTAAAATGTATTAAAGTCAAACAATATCTTTGCAATCCTGGATCCCCTTACTCCCTGTTTTCCCTACCCCACCTCTCACCGTACTGTTTTTGCCTAAAAGATTTCCTAATATTCTTGCAATGCATCTCCTATTGATTTTAATCTATGCTCGTGCGAAGAAACGGGCAATCTTTTTTCCTAAGCTGGAAAATGAGATCTCTGTGTCAGAGTGTACACAAATAATGAATGAGTTTGCTGGTTTCAGTTCCTGGATGTTGTAAGGCACCGTACATTTCACGTAAATAATTTACAACCATGTTATCTCACACAGTTGGCATAACGTGGAAGGTGAATTCAGGGTGTCGAGGAGTTACAAGAAAGTTAAAAGGTGTGTGTGAGTTATCACAGATTCTTGGCTATCTTGCAGAAAGGAAATCGGTTTCCACAGTGTTTGCTTTCTTCTTCTTCTTCTTTTTTTTTATAATGTGCTTCTTTGAAAAGCAGAGAGGAGAGATGGACTCTACTAAATCCCCCCTCCTATTTCCCACACATGAGAAGGTGGCAGCATGGAAGCTTCCGGCCTAATATGGCTTCCAAAGCTGATACTGTTGTGATTTAGAACTGAGGTTCCTAAGACAGGAATCCATTCTGCATAAAGGGAAAAAAATTGTAACTGTTTGTTTGTCTAGAATTTAATTTGGGACTGATACTGGCAAGCTTGTGTAAGTCTGGATTTATTTATTTATTTATTTTGCGATATTATTCAAGATTGGGAAAAGAATTTATTGGGTCAAATAGTTTAAAAACCACTGGCCTGAAAGCCAAACCCTGCAGGAACAATGCTGAATTATAGAACTTACACACAGGTCTGTTTATGCCTAGTTTTTATTTGAACTCTTCAGGTATAGCTCAGGTGAGTATCACCAAATTCTCTCTAGTCCCTTGGCATTCAACTACCAATTGAAATATCCAGCAGTCCAGAATGTTGGGATCTCAACTTTCAAAGATTCTGGAAGGAGAAGGAAACGGGTTATTCTCATGCTAGTTGATGAGGATACAATCCAGTGGTGGGTTGCCCCCGGTTCGGACCGGTTCTATAGAACCGGTAATAAAACCGGTGGGAGGCTCCGCCCACTGACCCCGATGTCATCAGGAAGCTTCTGCGTATGCGCAAAAGTGAGCGTGTGTGCAAAGCGGGCATGCGGGCGTGGCCCCGTTGCAAACTGGTAGTAAAGGTAAGTAGAACCCACCCCGATACTATCCCATTAAAGTTGGTTTTCTACACCTTTCTTTAACTCTGCCTTGTAAAAAGGATTATTTGGGAGGTCTTCCCACCTATAGGTTCTTTTCAGGAATAGGTGGGGGGCTTTCTGTTCAGATTTCCCTGTGATATTTTGCATCAACAGACTGCACGGCAAAACGTCAGAGAATTTTGACTGATCATTCAGTTCCACGGCAGCCCCAAAGGGACTTGTGGAATTTGGTACAAGTTTGCATTGAAAGAAAAGTTAAACCAGTTTCGCTGACGGAGCTGTTATGCCTGATCATTCCTGCCTTGCGGTGGTGGGATTCAAATAATTTAACAACCGGTTCTCTGCCCTAATGACCAGCTGGGTGGGCGTGGCCAGGGGATGTGACAGGCAGCACTTGGTTTCCTGCCCCCCCGGGAGCAAAAGTGGGCCATGGGGGGGGATGCACCACACCCCCTGTGCCCTGTTTTGGGCCTATGAGGCCTCCTGGGAGAGAAAATGGACCTTCCTGCACTTACCTGGGAGCTAGATTGGAGCACGTGGGGACTCCTGGAAGGGGCGGGGCAGGAAGGGGTGGGGCCAGCCAGCAATTTAACTACCGGCCCAAACCGGCTGAATCCCACCACTGCTGCCTTGCAGAAAAACTTTAACCTTGCCTGTATCTAACCTATTTCTACAAACGAGTCCATTTCAAAACAAGGCAGGCAAAGTAACAAGTCCTCTCTACAAAAATCCTTGCTGCCTTTTTTCACACAGTTTTTAATAAGATGCATAATAATATCCCCAAAATATGCCTTCTATCTGTGTTTTTTTCCCTTTGTTTTTTTGCTCCATTCTTAGGAAGCTTTAAAATTCATGTTTATTTGTTTTGGTGCAGCCATGATGGCACAGTGGTTAGAAGGCAGTACTGCAGGCTATTTCTGCTGACTGCCAGCTGCCAGCAGTTCGGCAGTTCGATTCTCACCGGCTCAAGGTTGACTCAGCCTTCCATCCTTCTGAGGTCGGTAAAATGAGGACCCAGATTGTTGGGGGCAAGCTGCTGGCTCTGTAAACCACTTAGAGAGGGCTGTAAAGTACTAGAGACTGGTATATAAATCTAAGTGCTATTGTTATATAAGAGCTGTAAAGGTACAGTGCAGGGGTGCTATTCAGCAGGTTCTGACAGGTTCTGGAGAACCGGTAGCAGAAATTTTGAGTAGTTCAGAGAACCGGCAAATACCACCTCTGGCTGGCCCAAGAGTGAGGTGGGAATGGAGATTTCACAGTATCCTTCCCCTGGAGTGAGGTGAGAATGTAGCTTTTGCAGTATTCTTCCCCTGCCATGCCCACCAAGCCACTCCCACAGAATCGGTAGTAAAAAAATTTCAATTCCATCACTGGTGCAGTTGCTAGAAGGAAATATTGCAGGCTAATTCTGCTGACTGCCAGGAGTTCGATCCTGACCGGCTCAAGGTTGACTCAGCCTTCCATCCTTCTGAGGTCGGTAAAATGAGGACCCAGATTGTTGGGGGCAAGAGGCTGACTCTGTAAACCACTTAGAGAGGGCTGTAAAGTACTGTGAAGCAGTATATAAGTGTTATTGCTTGTGACTTGGATTATTGGAAGTGGTTGAAGGTGTATTACTGCTGGGGCTGTTTTCAGTCACATCCCTTTCCATAGTTCAGCAACTGTTCAGGGTCTCCCAAATAATTTCCAATTCCCGCTCTGAAAAAAACTCCAGTGGAGGAATTGTCTTATAATTCTCACCGCTGGGAAACTGAATAAAAGCAAGGGGTTTATTTCTCCATTTGTATCCCATCTTTATGATTTTTTCACAAATAACTCAAGGTGGCCAACTTATCCAACACACACCCAAAGGTGCTTTTCAAAAAGAATTGTAGATTTAGCATTGCGAGCCTAAATTAGCATCCTTGTAATTGCCACCAATCTCATTTAAAAAAAAAAAAAAACTCTCAAAATCATTAGAAGAGAATATATGAAGCTCAGGGTTGAATCAGGAGAACAGGGATCAAGAGAACAGAGCTCGTGCACAAGCCAAGCAGCCAGTCCTCAAGATCACAGCACCAGGTTTGGCCTCTGCTCAGCAGATGAAAAGATTGCTTTCAACATTGGGTAGGTCTCCAGCTGGCAGAGTTTATATCCTAGACTCCAGTCTCTAACCTGAACTGTCAGGATTATACCCAGGGGTAGGCTGCTGGGGGTTTGCAGGGGTTCGGGAGAACCTCTAGCTAAGATTTTGTGCAGTTTATTTTATTTCTTTATTTATTTGTTCAACTTGTATGCCGCCTTTCTCCGAAGACTCAAGGTGGCTTAAATGCATTTAAAAACCATATATAAAAACATTAAAAATTAAAACGTTAAAAACAATTAAGAGAAGTTCAGAGACCCGCCCAAATTCCACTCCTGGCTGGCCCCGCCCACCCTTCCCCTCCCCTCTAGGAGTCTCCATGCGGCCCGTTTTGGATGTAGGTACGTGCAGGTTGCGCACGGAGGCTCAGGGAGGGCAAAAAATGGGCCTACCGGAAGTTTAGGAAGAACAGAAATGGGCCCATTTCTGGCCTCCAGAGGGTCCCCGGAGTCTGGGGAGGCCGTTTTCGCCCTCCTGGAGGCTCGAGAAAAGCCTCCAGAGCCTGGGGAGAGCAAAAATGCCCGCCCCCGCCATGGTGCAAGAAGCTGATTAGGTCATGCCCACCATGGCCACCGGACAGAGAACCCCTTGCTAAAATTTTTGAAACCCCACCCCTGATTATACCCACTCAGTTGAAGTTTCCTGAAATTACTGAATGATTCTTGAGTACAGATCACAGAATCTGGTACTGCAGACCAAAAGTGCCAGTTCTTGGCCACTTGTCCGGCTGAACTTGAATTTTGCCCCCTTTGGTTTTCCGGATTTCCTTCAGCTCCTCATTTTTACCGAGAATAGCAGGGACCGTGTGATATCTTTTGTCCTTCAACAGAGTCACATTCGTCATTTGCATTTCGTCCATTTTTCCCCCCTAAGGATTGCAAAGAATGAGTTTTACCAGGAAGTTCAAAAGTCCATTCAGGTTTTCTGTTTTTGTGGTGAAACAATGATGTTTTTCTTCCGCTGGAGAATCTACAATGGCATTCACCTTTTTTTTTGTTTTTGTTTTTGGAGGGAGGGGTAACATTCCTCTGCTAATTTCTAAATAAAAACTTCCTGTATTCCATGGAGGATCAGCCTAGAGTTTTCTGGCACTTTGAAATGCTGCCCTTTGACAAAGCGAGCTTTTTCAATTTCCATAACATAAAAGTTAATCAAGACTTTTCATTCATTCCTCAATGCCTCATTTCTTGGACAGCAATTGCCTTGTCCCTTCTCTTTTGTTTACAAAAGCCGAACGGTGGATACAATGGGATTTAAAATGTTCGACATGTTGGAAGTGTCGTTTCTTATGTCCTCATTTTTGTTCTCTTCCTATTTTTGTTATTTATATTCTGTTGCCTATGTTGAAGCAAGTGACTTGCAATAACATCATAAACAGCTCATTAAAACGGGTGTAAACAATGCCCTGATATATTCTCATTAAAAAGAGAAGGGAATAAAAACCATGGATATTCAACATTCACATAGGGAAGGACTGAGTTAACAGATGGGTTTTCAGCCGGCATCCCACAGATGTATGCTAAGCACTTCCTGAATTTCTTATCTGAGAGACGGCAGCTGTATTTCTTCTCTTCTTCCCCTCTGAAGTGCCTTACTTGGGAGGTTTTCATGGAGAAGGCTCAGTTCTTACTTACTGAACTGTGAGCCACATCAAGGGGGAAGACCACAGAAAGAGAACCCCTAACTGAGTTTGGTGCTCAGGTTAGAAGGCATGTCTGTCTGTCTGTCTGTCTGTCTGTCTGTCTGTCTGCCTGCCTGCCTGCCTGCCTGCCTGCCTGCCTGCCTGCCTGCCTGCCTATCTATCTATCTATCTATCTATCTATCTATCTATCTATCTATCTATCTATCTATCTATCTATCTATCATCTATCTATCTACTGTATCTACAGTATCTTTCTATCTACAGTATCTATCTACAGTATCTATTTACAGTATCTATCTATCTATCTATCTATCTATCTATCTATCATCTATCATCTATCTATCTACTGTATCTACAGTATCTTTCTATCTACAGTATCTATCTATCTATCTATCTATCTATCTATCTATCTATCTATCTATCTATCTATCTATCTATCTAATAAGAGCCGAGGTGGCGCAGTGGTTAGAGTGCAGTACTGCAGCCACTTCAGCTGACTGCTAGTTCAGCGGATCAGCAGATGAAATCTCACCAGCTCAAGGTTGACTCAGCCTTCCATCCTTCCCAGGTGGGTAAAATGAGGACCCAGATTGTTGGGGGCAATATGCTATTTAGTATACTGTCTTTGGTGTAAGCCGCCCAGAATCCTCGGAGAGTGGGCGGCATAGAAATGTGAATAATAAAAAAATAAAAT